ATTGCATTGACTGTTCTCCTAAAATGTTTACAGAAAATCAGCTTACCATCAACTGTGACACAAGATTGTTTTATTTTACCAGCCGGCCACCATATTGTTTCCTGTTGGAAAAACTTTTTTTTCACTTTTTGTATTGTACACAAATTCATTTACAGAAATACAAACATATGTAACTTGAGCGTTCAATGTGTGGTGGTTAGGTCGCCCTTATTGAGAGTACACAGCAGGATGGAGACAGATATTCTCTTAAGCAGCACTTTATTATTCTCCACACTTCAGCAGCCTCACACTTCCTGGTCACACTTCATTGTTAGGGGTCACATGTCACTTAATTAACCAATGAGATGCTAGAAGGGTTTAGACTGAGGTAAATGTGTGTGAGATCCAGCAAATTATTGAACCATTTTAAACACTGCTGCGGTGAATATTTTAACATGTAGATATGTAAATAAGAATTGGGAACACAAATGTGTTAATAATTAACTGCACAAACACTGTAAATGTATTTTAGACAATTACTTAAACACATGAATTAACTTAACTTGTAAACCTTACACATACAGAGTGCCCCAGGAATGAGTTAGCATTTTACCACTCATGGTTCCCTTGTCTCAAAGTCAATGTGCCTTTTAAATGAGTTTTTGGTTAGATGATGGGGTTAACACAAGTTTAAGACACTTTTACATTTTGTTCTGTGACAGTAAATATCTCACTTGAGAACTTTGAAGCTTCTAAGTGTCTTAAAAAGGCAGTTGCTAACAAGTGGCTAAATGAGAATACAGAACGTCATCATGCTGCTAAACACAGCTTTATAGTCTTGTTATAGTGGTGACATTAGGTATTGTATTGGTCGTTTATAACCTAACGTTAGCTTATCACTTACTCACAGTTGTAGGTTTTCCCTGTCATGAGCAGAAGCAAATGCCACAGCCATTTTCTTATATTTTCTCTGGTCATGTAGCAAAAATTTCTATCACATAAATACTTCTTTAATGGAAAGATACTTGATATGAAATAAAACCAGTTTATTTTATACCAATGTTTCTGCACCATCAAGCAAAACCATAGAAATTAAATACATTGTGGGAAATATGTTCAGTTACATCACCAACAAGAGCTGAGAGTTATTTCCTTTCAACTCACTAAATTCAGAAAATTAATAGGCCAATTTAGACTTATAAATGTCTGCTGAAGCCACATAATAGTCTTTTGCTTTTCACTAAACAAAGAGGACAAACTGACTTCTGGAAATTGACTTAAAACAAATTAGTGTCATCTCCAACTGTGTCAACATGACAGCGTTCATTGATCGCAGATGAGGCCGCATACAGAAATACACATAGACAGTTGAGACAGCGTGTGCGCAGTAAGATTGATCATCCATACTGAAAATGAGTCATTTCCAATAAATATTGTGTTTGCCGTAGGTTCAGGGGGCTGTCATGGTGTTGTGACTCAGCGCTCAGTGACATGGCAGTGACACCAGATGCCAGTGCCATCCTTGATGAAGTAGTGGGAGGTAAGAATAACTGTGACACATGCAGAAGGCATTCTTAGGATACTCAGCCTGGACACAGCCAGGGGTCCCCGTGTTGATCTCCCACCATGTGACATAGACACTCTAAAGATTATTTTAGTTTGTTCTTCAACCTCTTTAGCTGTTTTATACTGACTTGAATCATGAGCCAGAATATTCAACAATAAATATAAAAACAGCGAATTAAACTTTTATATTGGTGTTTGTAAATCGTGTTGTTATCTCATGGTGTTGTAAGACAGAATTCAATAATACCATGTATCATCTCGCCATAAAACTGTACTGTTAAAAAAACTTGATATATTATGGTTCAGCTTTCCTGTTTAATAAGTGGTGAAAAAACTTTACATCTTTTATTAAAGAAAATGTAGCATATTATTATTAAAAGTACAATTATAAGGGCACTACCAGGAAATGTACTTTAAGAATCAAAAGTGCAACAAGTCCTTTTAATTTTGATGCAGCCGTCATTAAGGAAAGGAGGTGAGGTAAATGAGGAAAAGAGGTGTCAGAATAAAGAAAATAGGAATCTTTACTACAGGGGTGTAAGAAAATATTGATACATTCAGGATCCAGGATTACCTCGCTAACTTCAAATCCTGCTTCGTAATACAGGCCTCTAGAGTCCTCACACCAGAGGCCTCTCTCCTCTGCTGCTGGCACAGGAGCTTTTAAACACCTCCTCCATGCCAGATGCCATGCACCTCCTTAGGTAATGCTCACACCTGGGCAGGTCTACAATGGAGGGGAAGGGGACAACAGCACAGAACACATACAGCCGAAACACCCCCACCCTTAAAACAATGAATAAATGGGTTGTCACACTGTCACTCAATCACATGCAGGTACTGAGGCAGTTAAAGTTTAACACAGTACTGTTACAACAGCCCATAGTCCAGTGATAAATACTGTTTATTCATAGAAAGGAAGTTAGGAAGTACAAACATTTTTACATTTTATTTAATTTGTATTTAACCCGGCAGTTTCACTGAGACAGACCTGAGAACAAGAAATATTCAGAATAGAATCAACAATCAGCATTTATGATGTCATTAAAGAGAGAGCCCTGCTGCCAGTGCCCTGCAAAAATATACAAAATGGCTGTGCTAAAAAGTGCAAATTACAAGATGAGACCCAACCTGAAAGTTTTACTTTAGTTTACACTCGTCTGCTGCTACAGACATTAAAATATATATTTGCTTTTGAGATTAATTGTTAGAATTTTGCCACCATGGAAATAAGCTCACATAAGCTTGCAAAGGTGAGCTAACAGTTAGCCAGCTAGAGCGCTAGCTGCTTAGTATTAACTCTTTGACCATAACATAAAGTAACATTAACTTTCATTCCTGCTCAATGTAGAAAGGCCACTACAATATTGCAGATTGTTTAGATTCTCAAAGGGACAGTGAGTCATACGTAGATGTTGTTTCTGGCTGCCAGAGTTAGTGAACTTGCTGTAGCGCTCTAGTGTTAGCATGTTAATATTTGTATGCTAGTTGGTGCGCTAGCTGGCCAACTGTAAGCAGCATTCACAGACAAAGCACTTGTCTTTATCTGGACACATTTTCCCCACAAATACAACATGCTAACATTATTAGCACAAGCCTATGGCATTTTACATTGTATAAACTGGCCTAGCAACTAGCGATCATTTCTTCTTCCCATATAAATCCAGGGACAACAGCAACATTTAACAAAGGTAACAGTACATAATTTGGCTCCATTACAACTCACAAGGTTCAGTGAAAAAACAACTGTCATACAAAACACATTTTCCTAACATATAACATGCTAACGTTATTAGCACAAGCCTATGGCATTGTACATTGTATAAATTAGCCTGCGACGAGCAGAGATTTCCTCTGATTATACGAAGCCAGGATAAATCACACACAAGACATAAAATGCTATTTTTGTGGAGGCTTTATTGTCTTCACAATTTATTGTTTCTTATCTGTGAAATGAGAGTAAATAAAAGCTTCGCCACTGAGGGAAAAGGTTTCAGCTTACAAAATTAGACAGGAGGACTGTGTCGCTGCGACATGTAGTTACATTTTTGTTGTAGTGAGCTAGCGTTAGCATGCCAACTTTTGTATACTAGCTTTAGCAAGCTAGCCCACCAACTGTAGCCTCAATTCTTTTTTTCCAGGATTGTAACCAGTGACAGAAAGTATTGCACAATGAAAGTGTGGTTTATGGGGAACCGATCTTAAGTGCACAATAAACCAAGAACACCTTTTTTTTGTGGTGGCCTTTTTAAATGAGCAAAGGGGAAGTTAGCTAGTTAAAAAGTAGTTAACTTCCCCTTTACTGCAAATGTAATGATTCTGATGACATCACAAACATTGATTGGCTGAGGCAGTTGTTGTCCCAGGGCTATCATACAAAATGTTGCTCTCAGGATAACAACCACTTGGCAACCACCTGCGACCATCAAAAGAAACAGTTAACAGAAAAAAATGAAACTTTAAAAATCTCTAGGGGAATGCAAGAATCAAGTTTGAGGGCAATTGACAGTTTATGTCGTTTATATGTGCGTTATATCTGAAAACAGCTCTGCCAACATCAATGCCTATATGAGGGGTGTCTAAGGTTAAGTAGGTACTGCAGCCTGTACTGTAGTTAGGAGATGTAAGGTAGTCTGGATGCTCTGACAGTATACATGAATAACATGAGATGACTACGTCTTCTTGACTGTACGAAGATCCATCCAAATCCATGTGTGTGAACTAATCCAAAACCCAAATCACAGGGGCACGCTGTTGACCTGGACACTGCCCACTTGAAATTACATCCCGAGAGACTGCCCATGGCTGCCCTCACTTTCAGCTTCCTGCCTTTTTTAATTAGCTTTTCCCTGTTAGCCTGTCAGGTGAATATATATTAAATATTTAAGAGGGGATTTGGGGCGAATTTGCTGGACAGATAGGCCTCAGGCCAAGGCCCACTTGATTAGGTTTCACTGGTGATCCAGATCTGACTTTTAGACCATTAAAACACTTTTCATTCCTTTACCCACACAGAATGAGACAGAAACCTGATTCAAAATCTGTTGGGAATATTTACAGACTTGGGAAACTAATATAACTTCAGCTCGAGGTGACAGAACGTTGCTCAGTGAGGGCTAAGCTAACTGCACCCCATGACTAGCTCTGCACAGCCATGCTACTTTTAGCTGATTAGACGCACTTGAACTTAGCGAACTGCGAGTGGTGGAGTAATGAGTGTAGTTTATGGGACTCATCAACAACGTTGACACACCAGTTCCTGCCATCTGTAAGGAATCCGTGTCTGTGAGCTTATGTCACGTCTCTGGAGTGGCGGTTATTAATATCCATATACTACCCGTGTAATGTAATCCCAGCAGGGAGACGGCTCTCACTCAGGTAGTCTGCTAGTGATTTCATGAATGAGACTGACGGTGAGGCCACCTTCCAAGAAAAGAAAGCGCTCAGACATCATGTGGGGTGGGTATATTTATTTTCTCAAGTCATTTACAGTACAAAATAGACCTCCAGGTAACAAAATAGCCACAACTATATCGAAAACAACAATGCTGTCAATATGTAAAGCAACAAGCTGAGAACAACAGTGCAATAGAGAAGCTTGTGGAGCTGTGATGAAGTAAATATTCAGGAAATAATAAAAGATAATGATCTGAATGAGACGACATTCATGTGTACCATTGCAGTCAACAGGGATTTAATTTCTATTGCAACCAGATCAGATTTAAAACAGACATTTGCAGTCCAGTGGCACATCACGTCCCTCTTTGTGTTTACAAATGCAGAAATAACATCAGTCAGACGTTGCTTATCAAGGTCCTGTTTAATGACAAATGTTTCAGAAAGAAGATTTGAATACATCTCTGAAAATTAATGAGTCATATTGCTCTATCTAGCAACTAAGGTCAAATGCAGTCTGAATGCATGCGATGACTGCGCCAAAGAGGTACTGGGAATGATCAGCGATGCTAGCAGTTCCTTCTGAATAACATCACCATAAATAAACATTTACACGGCATATAATTTGGCTATCAAATATACGATGCTCTTTCAAAATAGATAAACTTTCTACAAAGCTAGTACAAATGGATTTAAGAAATTTCTCTCCCATAGTACTTTGTGTCGGAGCTATTTACATGAAATACAAAGAATCAACATAACTTATATATTGTGCTTCTATGTGTTTTTCTAGCATGCTTTTCTTCACAAAAAAACGTCTCACAAATGTAAACAATAATCAGAGTCCTTCCACATATACAGACATTTTTTGTAATTAATGCTTAAACAAACTTTTTCTGACAGCTTCCTATTTACATGTTTTGGATCCATATCGATTTCACACAACTCTGATCTTTCACTTAAGACTGATCAGTGGTTTAATCAAAGTGTGACCAGATGTCAAATGGTGTTTATCAGATCTGCAGTTTGTCACATGAAGAGTGTTGTCAGTAAACAAGGGAACGCTGGCAGTCAACATTCTCACACTGCGTACCTGAAACAACCTGCGATCACCGTAAATCTAAAGATACACTAGCCATTAAAATCCTGCAAGAGAGGAACAAACGTTTATTTCCCCACATTTAAATGTTAAAAAACAGATTAGACCTCAATTATCCTACAATTTGTTCCCAAAGTTGCTGAGCTACCTTCACAAGCACATAACACAACTACAGCAAACCATATTGTTAAGTGTAAGAATGCAGCTGCGGGTGTTTAGATTTCAGATTTTCAAAGTGAGCTGTGGGCAGGTAGGATGAATCAGAAGTACTGTGCTGATTTTCCGGCATCTTGGTTAACTGATAATTAAAGAGGAAGGTGGGAGTCGTTTGATTTCAGAGTCAGACACAAGACGGATGAGAGGCAGGAGGAAGTGACAGAGTCTGGAGCAAAGCACAGAACCGAACGACACTGTGAAGAAGAGCTAGATCCACCCACGGGGGGGGGGATTGACAGGTGTTTAGTTAATAATAGCATATCATTGGTGTTTACAATGTAAAGAAATCAATTTGATGTTCCAAAAGCTGTGCGGGGCGGAAATACAGTGGCAGGATAGTTGGTGATGGTACAATGATGTTAATTCATTCATTTTTATGTAATTTAATCCAGTTGTGCAGTATGTAGAATTTAATTGTAGCAGGGGAGAACAGGGACAAAAGCAAAGCATCAGGGAGGCCGCTGCTACAAAGACCTTTTCTCTTGTAATACAAAAGTCAGGAACTAGTGCACAGGAAGTACACCCTGCTATTGAGTAAGCAGCCAAAAACCAGTCCAATCCAATCAGTTCTGGCTGAGTGACAGTATTAAAACTGATTTTTCACTCATTAAGTAAAAACTAAGGCAATTTTTATTTGTTGAAGACAGTAAATCTATATCATCTGTTAGTCCTATCTATAACCGTCAGTGAAGGTTTATCATGCTAGCCTATCTTTGGTGCTAGCCAGGGTCAAGTTGACGGAGAAAGGTGAGGGATGAAAGTAACATGGCGTTACTGGTCGGTTTGTGTAGACTGTCCTTGCTGTTAGGGGCCGTACAAATGCTGCGTCTTTAACCGCTTGGAACCGAAAGGTCGTGTGCTGGGCCCTACTTTTGTGCCTTTTTTGAGCCAGCTTTCAAGAGCGTGGCGGCAGGTTGCTCCTGAGGTTGATAAGCAACCTCAACGAGTACTGTATCGTAGACTATTTACCTTTATAAGTGTGAGGGCGTATCGTCCGTGGGACAAATGTAAAGCTCTGGCAGCTCTGCACTTAATGATCAAGTTTTCCATATTTATCAGACTGATATTTACGGAAAAGGGGAAAGATATCGGTCAGCTGGGATTGGTTGGTCCTTTGCACATGTTCCAAAAGTTGAACTGTTTATCTCGGGGTGCAGCCGTCGTGGCCTGAAAAATAGGCTGTTGGGAATGCATGCGCACTGTTCTGGCATTGCTCTGGCATTTGAGTGCACCTGCCATGCGTCTACATTGAAAACAATGAATTTCAGAGCACAGAAAACGCAGCATGTGTACAGCCCCTTTATCAGTACGTTTACATGACATTAGAGAAAACTGATTAATTGTGTTAGTCAGACTAAAATATTCCTTAATTTCCCCTCGGATCCCTGTTTTGATTAATAAAGTACCTGTCTATCGATCTATCTTGTCGTACTAAATCAAATTTCGATCGTGCGATTGGGAGTCGAATTACTCCTGCATGTATACACTTAATCGGACCCAAACTACCGTTTTTTGATTGTTTGATCTGTGACCTAATTGGTCAACTGGAAAAAGGTCTGACACTAACAAGCTGAAAGGGGACATAACACCACCTACTATAGAGAAGTCGGACATACCTTCCTTGGTAAATAAATCTATACCCCTCCCGTGCTTATATACTGGGACTACTGGGACGAGAACAGTAGACCAATTAAATGGCCCAGTCAAGCTATAACCGTAGCTCGACATACCTGTGCATGCAAATGTACTAAATGAAAAAGCGAGGAACACACATGATTTTGAGTTTTGAGTGCACGTGATGGGTGAGGATTTGTGATGGTTTAAACATCTTATGCTGACCCACTGTTATTTATAAGAGAAAATAGTGATTATTCACTACGATAAATTCGACGCATTGGACAAATTTCATACTATGGCGACATTAATCATGATAAATTGGTTTGGGAGGAACAGGGTCACTTGTTTGGAGGACTTACTGAGGAATTAAAGAGCTGTATATGCCAGAAATATTAGGTAATTGTTATGTGGTTGATTTACAGTTACAGTTTCCTTCGTCCTGGCAGAGAGGGGCAGAGTAGCAATGTGCAACGTGAATTCTTGGTCTGATTGCGTCTGACTCATTCATCAAAGATGTAAAAAAAAAAAAGGATGGTACTGGTAGAGGACATGTTTGTTATTCACAATAAAATATGGTTAGGCTACTCTAAAAATGCATCTCTGTGCAAAGAGGGAAATACTAAAAGGTCATACTTTTATCCCTGTTTTTCCCGAGGTCTAATCAAGGGGAAGCAACAAATAATTAAAAGTCAACTTACTAAGAAACAAATGCAAACTGCATTGCCTTCAGTGCATTAAATGTTCACACTCCATGTTGGTCATTATTTTCAGAGACAACTATGAACAATATTTAAACAAACAAATAAATAATGGTTAAATAAACTGAAAGCCATTTGGTGCACAATTAATCAAAACCTTCATTTTTATCACATTGTTAGCTAAACGAGAGAAAAATAATATTCACAGACACAGAGGAGGAGTGACACAACACTAGCATACATATAGTGGAGTGAGATCAGTCCTCATGTGGGCTCTCTGCAGGTCAACTCATCCTCATCCTCAATCTCAGATGAGACCGAGCGCGCCGCTCTCAGTGCATGAAGTACCTTCCTCATTAGCATACATTTTCCACTACACAGCTGTCAGCTCTATCACATTTAGAGAATTCCAGTTCGGTCTATAGACATGGCAGGAGAGAACGAGGGCTGGTCTGAAGCAGACGTCTGTCCCTGTGCGGTTGTTGCCCATCCAATCAACATCGGACGAGAGCTCTCAACAAGCTAGTCATCATTAGTAACACTGCTGTGGCTGCAGTGATAGTCAAAATGGAGTTCCAACCTACCTCACTCCCCTGAAGGAAGACAGGAAAACAGTGGTGTTAAGAGTCAGAAGAGGCTGTTCGGCAACCACAGATAAACCACACTGGGACTTTAAAGGAATTAATCACTTGTATTCACTTTCTTGCAAAGAGTGAGATTAGAAGATGTCTGTTTATTCACAGTGGAGCCAGGAGGCAGTTAGCATAAAAAAACTGGAGCAAGGGGAAGCAGCTAGCCTACCTCTGTCCAAAACTCAACAACACATGTACACGAAAAGAATTATATAAACAGCAGTTTGTGGTTTTACATGCTGTTACTATTTCTTGATGAACATTTTATCCATCCGCCCAGCTCTTAAATGTTGTTTCCGCTGGTTGTGGTGATGACAAAGGCTCAGAAAACAATGATTAGCGTAGCTACTTATAGATCTTAGCTCCCCAACGACCACTAATTGTTTTGTTTTTGCATTTCTCTTTGTGTACAAATTAAACATACAATGCGTTGATTCAGATATGCTGGTAGGACTATTTTTGAATTTTGGACAGAGCCAGGCTAGCTGTATCCCCTGTTTCCAGTCATTATACAAAGCTAACCATCTCTTGGCTGCAGGTTAAAGCACTAACATCCATCCATGGCATCCATCTTATCATTTAGGTCTTGACAAGAAAGCAAATAAGCACATTTCCCAAAATGTTGAACTGTTTCTAAAAATGACATATTCAGAGCCATTAAAGGAAATATTTTGTTGTAATTTGCCAAACTGCCCACCCGTCCCACGTCCACCTTCCATTAATGTTTAATATCATTTATTCCCTTCATTTACTGGAGATTTTTCTAGGCAGTTTTGGCATTTCTTCAGTTTAGACCCTCCCATAGCAACCACCACTCTCAATGAGTCTTGGGCAGTCATTTATATTAAAGGGTTAGTTCATCCAAATAACATATTTTCTCACTCACTTGTGGTAAACACAACAGAGAATAAAAGAAAGCAACACCTCTTTTCACAAACAGTGTCCTGATTCAACACATTCTCACTCCCACTTCATCAAAAACTGAAGCTTGGTCACTGAACCAACACGTCAAACAATGATGCCCTAGGTACCTCTCCAGTGTCAGTTTTGAACGCTCAGGGACGGCATGTCAATTTACACTCATTACCAGGCCACCAGGAAGTGTGCTAGGCTTTGTAGCAAATTTTTGTAGTGGCTACACAGTTTAATTATATGATCACGTGATGCCCAGTGGCCCCAAAAGACATTTTCCTATTGACTTACAGGGCAAAAGAGTTGACACCACAAATGAGTGGTTTCACTATTGCGATTTGATCTATTCGGTCCGATAACATTCGGAAAGTCATAAAAAGCTGCACGATTAAATCATTTTATACCCTTCCAAGTTAACAGAGCACTAAACTGGAAGTAGCCAGCTTGGCCCACGGAAGTCTCTAGTGCGCCTGCTCTATGGGCCACACAGTGCTGAAGCAGTACTGATCATCTGGGTGGTTTTATATGCAGCAGTTGAACTTTTTTGGCTTCATGCACCACTGAGCAACTTTTATAGGAATGGACAGTATCCCGCATCCAGTGCTGTTTCCAGGGGTCTCGTTTATAAAACAGTGCATAGGATCTATTATAACAAATAAAGCCAAAAATGGCTTTCAATAATTACTACAATCAGGCTTCCACCTCACCATCTGCGTTGCCAATTTCACGTCTCCAAAATGTTCATAAGTATGGATCCAAGTTTCTCCCATCAAGTCTGTTTTTATAAATCACAATTTTTCCATGGCAAGTGGTATACGCCTCTTTCAGGCCTTGTTTTGTATGAACGCAGTGTTTATAAATGAGCTCTTTACATGCATTATGTCTTTTCAAAATAAACTTCCATTTTCACAGGAATTGTATAGTTTCCTATTGTTAAATACACACAGGCTCATTTCAAAATAAACTTAGAAAAAAAACATAAAGAAGGTAAACATAAAAAACTCATTAGGTTTACTTCCTTAGGTTTAGGCAACAAATTACGTAGTTATGGTAAGAAGAAAATCATCAAGGTTTGGCTTAAAATAAGTACGTTTGTAACTGATGTAATGCAAAGTCATGTGACACGTGTTACTGGTGTAGCATGCTACACTTACAAGCACACTACGTATGTGTGTGCTAAAATAACTTGATTTACTTTTGGTTTCTCAGGGGATGTGAACAGTGGTCTCTTGAGTGATCGTGTGGAGTTTGTTTGACCCATCCTATGCAGACTTTCTCACTCTTTATACTACGGCAGTTGTTTGGAGCATCAAACAATATTGCCACTGGGTGCATCTCATACTGTTGTTAAAGAGTGCCTTTGTGCGTCGGTATTTGACATCCAGATCTATTGACCGGGCATCAGTGTTTGATGGAGTGAAACCAGGTTGCCTGTTTAGCACAGGTAATCCAAAGAATCCATGTCCATTATATCGACCTATGAAAACTGTTGACCTTTTTTGTGTTTTGTGTATCGGGGTAAGACATTACTTTCACCAACGGTTTTCATAAAACCCAAACTATCTGCAAAGTTAGATACTGTATGTAATAAACAATGGTTTTTATGTTACTTGGGTGAACTGACCCATTTAATCATAGAGTTAAAAACCTTACGTAGCATTACGCATCAGATAGAGATAAGCTCCTCCCATACCTTGCCCTCTGGGACGCCAGCTCCGACAACCAGCACCAGATCACAGCCAATATTACAATCATTCCTATGAAGGGGATGGAGAGAACAGGGTGCTCAGACGGATGGATGAATATCTGAGGAGGGAATAAAAACAAACACAAGGACCATGGGGATGAAGGGAATGAATGAATGGATGGAATGAAGAATCAAAATAATAAAAACACAGATAAAAAAAGGTGTGACGACAGCACGAATGGATCACCACTGCGAATCACTAAATTAAAAACATGACATGGGCTATGGCTGTGATATAAGGGGGGGGGGGGGGGGGGGGGGGGGGGGGGGGGGGGGTTGTGATGGAGTGATTTACATTTCCTGTTAAACAAAGAATGCATAACTGTAAGGTGACATACACATCAACTCAATGTGAGTATGTGTGAGCAGTCCTGTGTGGCATTTAGTGGCTGTGCGTGATGTGATGGTGACAAAGAAAGAAAGACGAACAGCATGAATGTTGTGTCTAGCATATGATGGTACTTTTGTCTCTCTATCCTCATTTTATTGTTCATTTGTTTTTAAGTTTTGCTAAATTTGTCATCGTACAGGCTGAGAGGTCATGGACATTCAGAGAACAAGGACAGCATCAGAGACAGGCACGGGTAGACAGTTTGACACAACGCAGAGACATCTCATCATGGCTGTTGCAGACAAAACACAGACTTTAGCCCTGTTTGTTTCTAACTATAAAAACTAAAGGACCATATTACAGTGCAGTACTTTACATTGCTTCCAACCAATTTTTTGTTTTGTTTTAAAGATTTCTGGATACATATTTTCTTTCCTTAGGCCTACACATAGCTTGGCATCCATTACTTTTAAAACTGTGTAAAAATCAACTTGCAGAATATTGAGTCTGACTTGGTGCAGTTGAAACCTCAGATTATCCTCAGGTTGGTGCATTCAGGGGTCACACTGTGCTGCACTCGCAAACTGTGTTGTCAAAAAGCCAAACCCAGAGGACGAACCATAGGCAAATATAAACATCACGAAAAGGGTGCTGGATTTGGCACTGTAGCTTCTCGCGCTAAGAAGGTTCAACTAGAGAGTTTTGGATGTTGGAGTTTCCTGTGAGCTTAAAACACAAATCGTGCTGGATTTATAAAACTATCCATGTTTTCAACACTTTGTATGCAACAATAAGTAGCTAAGTGTTTAACTATTTTAGACGTGTCATTTCACTGCAAGTTGACTCTCACACCTTGTTAAAATGAACAGAAACCAGTCTTAAAGGGACAGTGCATCCCCACATCAACAAGACATTTTTCCTCTTACCTGTAGTGCTGTTTGTCAGTCTAGATTGTTTTGGTGTGAGTTGTCGAGAGTTGGAGATATGGGCCGTGAAGATGTCTGTCCTCTCTCGAATATGATGGAACTAGACAGCACTCAGCTTGTGGTGCTCAAAGTGCAAAAAAATTGATTTAAAAAGTCAACAGCAATGTCTCTTTCCAGAAATCATGACCCTGTTACTCAAGATAATCCACAGACCTTGTTGTGAGCAGTTTCATACAGGAACTATTTTCTTTTTACCAAACTACACTCACTGTACCACAATGCAGGGAAGTGTGCATCATAGTGTGATATTGCTAGCTCAGCTATGCTTGCAAACGTTACAGCTCAGCCAAGGAAGACACCACAAGGGGCCGCACACATGCTGCGTCTTTAACCGCCTGGAAAACACGAGGTCGGGCACTGGGTGCTACTTTTGTGCCAGCTTTCAAGAGCGCTGTGGCAGGTTGCGTCTGAGGTTGCCAAACAACCTCAACTAGCACAGTACCATAGCCCATTTACCTGAAATCCTGAGTGCAGAGCTGATCTTCTTCCAGGTGCTGTTTATGTGTGGGCACAGTGTCCATGAGACGGATGTAAAGCTCTGGTAGCTCTGCACTAACATGATCAACTTCTCCATATTCATCACAGACTGATATTTACAGAAGAAGGGAAAGATATCTGTTGGCTATGATTGGTTGTTCCACGTCACATGACATGCAGTGCACACTGCTGCATTCCAAAAGTTGGACTCAATTTATCTTAGAGCACAGCCGACGCACCCTGAAAAATGGGCACTCGGGAACGCGAATGCGCTGCAACGGCGTCGCTCTGGCCTTTGAGCATGCCTGCCGCACGTCTACATTGGAAATAATGAATTTGAGGGTGCAAAAAACGCAGCATGTGTAGGGCCCCTTAGTGTTTGCATTGTCATGAGCATGTGCCTCTTGTTCATGAGTAGATACACGCTTCCTTCTGCTGTTGATACGGTTGGTGGGTGTAGTTTGGTGGCAAGAAAATAGTTCCTACATGAAACTGCTCACAACAAGGTTCTGTGGATTATCTTGAGTAACCAGGTCATGATTTCTGGGAAGAGACTGCTGTTGACTTTTTTAAATGTATTTTTTGGCGCTTTGAGCACCACAAGCTGAGTGTCATCTTGTTCCATTATATTAAAGAGAAGGCAGACATCTTCATAGCTGATATCTCCAACACTCTGCAACTCACACCAAAACAATCTGGACTGATACACAGCACTACAGGTTAAAAGGAAAACCATGTATTTTTGATCATGAGGTGAACTGTTGCTTTAATGTAGGAAAAGACCGTTTAAGATCTAAAGGTTCAAAGGTCCTTTCATTGTGTTTTCTCTATTGACTAATATCTGACGGCTACATAGGATTCACTGACAAAACAGGCATTCTCTGCTCGAAATGCCTTTTTGCAGGTTTTGTGTTTTGGTCCAACAACAGTATAAAAAGCATTACTGTCACAGAGAAGTTAGAAGACAGACACATAGTGGGGGCAGGAAAGGTTCCCCATCCCAAAGCACAAAATAGATACTGATATGCGCTGACAGGCCAGGTCAGTTCATATCAAAACATATACTGCTACAGTATGACACACATAGAAAAGTGGGCTCAACAGACACAGGATACAGCAGGTGTGATGTGAAACGTGTCAGGTGTTAGTCAACAGTGTGGGTGCAGAGAAAACGAGCTTCTTAATCATAACTACATCTAGAATATGTTCACATTCATCGGGAAACAACAACCTGCTCTACAGATGCTTTAGCAAAACTAACCACACAGTTTAAACATCCTAAAGATTCTCAATAATCGCATTAAAATCAGCTTCCCTACTTCTTTTACCAACTGTATAGTACTGTATTATTCATGTCTTTCCCTCTCACCTGAGCCCCCCCTGACAGCTTCTCCAGCTCTGCCTTGCAGCGCAGCAGCTCCTCCTCCAGCTCCGCTCTCTCCCTCTGACTGCTGTCATACAGTACCTGCAGCTCCTGCAGCTCCATCTTCAGCCCGTCACACTGGAGGACACAGAGGTCAAATTCTCAGTCTCTCCTCACAACAGCGAACTGACTGATTGCATTCACTGAAACCAATTTAGTGTAATTGATTGACATCGATTGGCTGATTATGGTTGACCTGAATCTATCCATGTTTTAATCATTTTATCATAAACTCCCAAGGCATTTCTTAGCGTCATACCTCTCTCTGAACCTGTGAGGCCTTCTCCTCTGCCTGTTTGAGCTGGTCCCTCAGGGAGAAGATCTCACCCATGCCTCCGTTCCAGCTGGTTGGGGTCATTGGCTTCCCATCAAATGAGATATTCTTCTGGATGGAGGCGTCCACCAGGCGACAGTTCCCAGACTGAGCCATGGTCATGTAGCTCTCTGTCATGACCTCATCCGAGCCGGTCTCCATCTCCTTCCCCTCTGTTCCCTCCCCTCCGTCCTCTTCTTTCAGTGACAGGTAGACACTGGAGCTGATGGGCAAGATTACATCACAGTTTCAGTTTCAGCTGAAAGAGATGAAAGTTTGAAAATGGGCTCCAAATGGGATGATCATTTCCACGATCAAAGGCTAAACATGATTGCTGTTATTTTATATGATGACCAGCATTTGTGTTGTCAAATATAGTATGTGGAGGTTTCATCATGGCGAACACAAACTCTGATCACTGTAGAGTACATGACTAATGGACAGCTACGTGACAGAGAGAGCAAACTAGCTTGACGACATGGCCAAACACAAGTATGACGCTAAATGTATTACACTGTGTGGACCTTGAATTAATGACTAAGGACAAATCTGAACCTCAGGGCTGGACCAGTTGGGAACCACTGATTTAGACTAATTATAATGACTGCATTATTAAATTTGTGGGCTGAAGAATTGCTAATATACTTGGTCAATTTATTCCTAATTACTTTAAGGTCAGCTACTCGATGTCCCTCTGCTGACCAGTGGTGGAATGCAACTAAGTACATTTATTCAAGTACAAATTTGAGGTACTTTTACTTCAGTATTTCAATCTCACGCACTTTCTACTTCCACTCCCCCACACCTCAGAGGGAAAAATTGTACGTTTACTCCACTACAATTATTTGATGACGTTTGATTACAAAGTTTTGCACACAAACTCTATAAAAAATCTTTCAAGTGCAGCCAAAAGTGTAAGTCGAATGATTCGTTAATAAATTGCAACTATTTTGATCATCTTTTAAGTCATTTTTAATGCAAAAACATTTAATGGTTTTTGGTCTTGGAGTCCTCTCTTGCCATATCTGGACTGGATGAGTGCATCTGGATGAGAACCACATCTGGATATACATATTAAGTGGATGTTTTCCCTTCATCCTTTATGGTTTTCTTGTTCCTGCTCTCGTCCATGATGGGCTATGTCTGATAATCATACATGGATTAGATGTATTGCTATGTGCTTTTGTGTTATTAACCGACTGACTCTGTTGAATTTAGGTGTCAAGATCCCTCTTCCATGCGTGTGTATGTGTGTGTGTGTGTGTGTGTGTCTGCAGGTGTGTGTGTTTGTTTTTGTTGGGGTTTGTATGTTAAATTTGAAAAAATATATTTCATGGTTCCAGCTTTTCAAATATGAGGACTTGCCGCTTTTTGTTTTTACTAACTTTGAATTATTAAATTGATGTAAAATTATCTCCATTTAGTACTTTTACTTTTAGTACTTAAATATATTTCCCTGATTGTACCTACATACTTTTACTGAAGTAACACTGCAGGACTTTTACTATTAAAATAGTAAATATACAGTGTGGTGTTAGAACTTTCACTTAATGGTAAATGGACCTGTACTTGAATAGCGCCTTTCTTGTCTTCCGACCACGAAAGCGCTTTTGAGTCTCATTCACACACAGATTCATACGCTGGTGGCCGAGGCCACCATACACTGCGACACCTGCTACTCAGTTTTTAACACACTCACACACTGATGGAGCAAATTGGGTTTCAGTATCTTACTCAAGGATACTTCAACATGCGGTCTGGAGGAGCTGGGGATCGAACCGCTGATCTTCAGATTAGTGGACAACTTGCTCTACCTCCTGAGCCACAGCCTTAAGTAATGGATCTGAATACTTCCACCACCACTGCTGCTGATGCGGCATTTACAGCATCACAAATATTTTGCCATTGCTCGATTGTTAAATGTCCTGTAACACCAGTACTGACACTTTTACATTGTAAAGGTTTATTTAAGAGTACATTGATTTCACTGCTGCATAAGTTCTTCTTCTTACAGCCTTTGTTTGGTGGCTTCCCTCCAATACTCTGGCACATGCCAGAGTCTTTGCACACGGCACAACACCTGCCCTTATGTAATGTTTAGGTAACTTATGATCATGTGGGATTCATCATTCAGCACACCTGGGTGAGAGTGGATTTGGATAATAAAAACGTTTGGTGCATCTGACTTCTTTTATTTTTTCTTTTAATAGAATATTAAAAGAAAATACAAGAGAAATTTAAGAGAACGTTGCTGCATGAGGCCCACTATTCTTTTATTATTTGTGTTCCTATTACAGACATTTGTGTAGCCAGCCTTGTAATGGAACTGCAGCTGAAGATTATTATAATTTGGACTATTCAAATGATTATTCTTTTATTATCAGTTAATTGTTTAGTCTATAAATGTCAGAAAACAATATTAAAAGGGCCCACCACAATATAATTGCTTGTTTTGTCTGACCAACAGTCCAAAACCAAAACTTATTTCTTTTTTAATTAAATTCAAAAAGATGCAGAGAAAAGCAGCAAATTTAAGAAGCTGAACTGGAGAATGTTTGGCATTTTTGCTTAATAAATTAGTTGATTAATCATAATTTCAAATCCTGTCCTACTACAGGGTTCATTTAGGAGCTGCTCTGGCCATCATGCTTCTCAGCTCCGAAGCAGTCTACTGCAGAGAATCAGAACCTTATTCTTGATTTTTAGTTATTACTTTGTGTTAGTTCTCCGTGTTGCACATATTGTCTTTGTCTCTTCTAACTCTCCTTTATCCCTTTTCTTCTTCCTGTAAAGCACTTTGTAAATTCTGTTTTGAGAAGTGCTATAAATAAAGTTAGCTTTGTTTTTGAGGCATCACAGGATCTTCCTCAGCAGATGGAGTGTGCCCAGTTCCCCATCTGCTGAGGAAGACTGTGGGGTGCGCTAAAAAAAAATTCATAACAGCTACTAAATAGATCTTGTCGGGAGATTATTTTCCAGGTCGAGAATCAACTTTCAGTCTCAAAATGTTTGATTTATCTTCCTATCAATTAATTAACTATAGGTTCCTGCACTTAAGTGTAATCCCTCGTATGATGTTACAGCTTCACTGCGGTGGTTAAACAGGTGGCCACTCTTTTTTAAATGAGACATGACGTGAGCGGCTGTGACGAGGGGTAGTATTCCTGAGAGTATCCCCTCCAGCTGATCCGGTAAGCACAGCTGATGAGTGAGCAGTCGTTGACCTCTCACCATGTCCTCTGTCTCTGCAGCAGCTGCAGCCTCTCAGAGAGACGTCTGTTGTCCTCCTTCAGGGTCTGACACTCCTCCCTCAGCATACGGCACTCCTCCTTCAGCAGGTCCACGTCACCTGACAGAGCGAGGAAGGTCAGAGATGAAGATGTTAAGAGGAGCTCATCTTTAACGTTACTGCTTGAAGCTGTAACATAATGACAACATGCGTAGAATATATTTAAGGACTAGTTTGACAATTTAGGAAATATGCTTATTTGCTTTCTTGCCGAAAGTGAGATGAGGAGCTTAATGTCACTCTTTTTGTCTGTTAAAAGTCCAGTGTGCAGGGTTTAGGGGGGATATATTGGCAGAAATGTTGTATCATATTCATAACCATGATTTCATTAGTTTATAATCACCTGAAAGTAAGAATCACTGTGTTTTGGTTGCCTTAGAATGAGCCAGTTATATCTAAATACGGAGCGGGTCCTTTTCCACAGAGCCTGTCTTGTTATTCTACAGTAGCCCAGAATGGACAAACCAAACACTGTCTCTGGACAGGGCCCTTTGTTTTTTTTGCGTTTTTATGTTTTTGCATCAGATAGCATAGTTCTGTATGCGCTTGCCACACAGGGGAAGTCTCAGTTCTGCAGCCCCACTGCTAGATGCCACTAAATCCTACACACTGGCCCTTTAAATGTGAAGCTACCACCAGCAGCTGGTTAGCTTAGCTTAGCATAAAGACTTAAAACAGGGGGAAACAGCTAGCCTGCCTCCATCCAACAGGAACTCAATGTACAATCTACAAGTACCTCTAAAGCTGACTTAAAAAAATATATCTTCTTTGTTTGATTAGTAGGAAAATGAATGCCATTTTACAGGGTTATGTGCTGGACTATTTTTTGGCTAGGACCCATTGCCAGGCAACCAGTGGAGACTCCAGATGGGTACTACTGGTCCTGCCCCAGGCCCCCAGGAATGCCTCTCAGCCTTGCTTTCAATTTTTTCCAGTGGCCCCTCATGGTATCTCAGAAAATAAAAGCATTTCCCACATAGACTGCCACCATAAAAGAGATGTCTGTAAAACTGCTGACCGTACACCTCGAACTGCAGACAAGGTCAATAATGAATCTTTCTCTCTTTTTTTTTAAAGATATTTTTATGGGCAGTTTTGCCTTTAATTGATAGGAAAGTCAAGTGTGAAAGGGGGAGAGAGAGGGGGAATGACGTGCAGCAAAGGGCCACAGGCAGGAGTCGAACCCCGGCCGCTGCGGCAACAGCCTTTTACATGGGGCCCCTGCTCTATCCACTAAGCCACCGACGCCCCCGATAATGAATCTTTCAATTATGAATTTTTGATCCATGGAGTTTTTATATTTGTAAAACTTTCCTTGAGCCGAGAAAAGGGTTTTAAAAATCTGTGATGCCGTCAGCCGACCAGGAACTCGCAGGCAAGGCCAGTAAGAGAAACACTAATGCATGTATTCAGTGGGCTACATACTGTTAGTAGTAAATCCAGACACTGGTAAGTTTTTGGTGATTTTTTTTTACTTTTTGGTAAATGCACCAGGTAATCAATTCTATTCTGTCAACAAATCCATGGACTGTTTAAAAATAATCGAAGTAGCCGCCGTGACATCACCCACTGGTTTGTGGACTTGACTTTGGCATTTTGGCTGTTGGCATCTTGGATTTTTGGAGCCGAAAGACCCTATCATTCAAAGCAGCCACACTTCTGCTGTACTTACTTCTGCTGTAACGTTGTGTATTTTAACTATGATGATTGTCTCATCATAGTGAGGAACTGCTGTTTTTGGCACTTCCACATTGGCTTCATTTTCAGCCTCAGAGGTGCTGTTTGGTTTTGCGAGGTCACAGTGACTGAGTGGATATTTGTACCAAAAAAATTTTTTTTAAGATTATTTTTTGGGCTTTTTTGCCTTTAATGGACAGGACAGAGTGAAGAGTGTGAGTTGGGGAGAGAGAGAGAGAGAGAGAGAGAGAGAGAGTGGGGTGACGATATGCAGCAAAGGGTTGCAAGCCGGAGTCAAGCTCGCGACCACTGCTGCGAGGCATCACCTCTATACATGGGGTGCCAGCACTATCCACTAAGCTACCAACGCCCCATTTGAGTGAAAATTTGAAAAATTCCCTTAGGTTGTCCTGGAGATACCGCATTCATGACAATGAGACGTACGAGGTCACAGTGACCTTGACTTTTGACATTTTACCACTAAAATGGAATCAATTCATTGTTGAGTCCAAGTGGACATTTTTGCAAGTCAGTGTTGGCTTTATTTTTCAGCCCCACAGGTTGCCGCTTCGTCTAACCACATCATGAGATCAAGAAAGCAGATAAGCCTGTTTGCTAAAATGTATTCTCTTCCTTCATAATGGAGCCAAACTGTGAGCTAGATTGTCCCTGCATATAAAATACATTTTGTGTGAGGTTTTCCTGAAACAGCCCAACAATAAAATTACATGAACTCCCCTCCCTCAGTCCCACCCTAGGCTCAGCTGCAGAGCCCAGCGATGATATCATGTGTTAGAAGTGTGTGTCCCTCCCCCTCATGACTTCATGTTCCTGGTATCCTAAATGCACACACACACATCTGCACACACACACCACTCCACTTTCAACGCTCAGCGACCACATTTGTAATATTTATTAAATCTCAGAAATGATTTATGTGCTTGACTGCAGGATGCTAACATGATGTGAGCATGGAAGAAGAACATCCATAACATCATGCTTTGTTTTCACAGTATCAGCCACAAAGACGGATCATGGGCTATTTGTGAAAGTAGTAAGCTGGATAAATTCCATAGTGCACGCAGAGACAGTCCTCTCACCGATGGCTGTTTACACAATGTGTGAAGATGAAGTGTAAAACAGAGGCTTATTGTGTTTTAACTTTGATGCGCTGAAAGTAAAACAATATGGTGACGGAGGAGAAAGCATGTTTGCGCGCACTACAAAACCACCTCCACCCTCTCACTTTCATCCTTCCTATCTTTGTTTTTTTCTCTTCTATTACCACACTGATCTCTCCTCTCCCTGCTCCTCGGCCCTCACCCTCTCTCCTCTCCACCTCCCTGCGCTGGCTCTTCATGCTGATCTCGGCTCTCAGAGTGGTGATCTCCAGCTCGTACTCCTGGGTCTCATCGCTGAGGCGCTGCAGCTCGGCCCGCCGGCGACACAGCTCCTCCTGCAGGGATGCGATGTCGTTCTCCCTCTCTGCCGCCGCCTCCTCTGCCGCCTGCTGGAGCAGGAGCACCTCCTCCTGGGCGACGCGCAGCTCCTCCTGGGCCTCCGCCAGCTCGCTCTCCTTCTCCTCCTCCAGGCTGTCCATCTCCTCCTGCACAGAACGCAGCTGGGCTGTGGGGAGAGGAGGAGAATGTTTTCTGTAAGGGGGATGTGTGGGTGAGACTGCAGCATCAGTATGGGTGTATATAGATGTGTGTGTGTGTGTGTGTGTGTGTGTGTATATGATCTTACCTGAGGTTTTGAAACAGTGGGCCTGCATGTGTTTGTGTGTGTGGGTGGTGTTCTCCTGCATGTGCATGTGACTGTGCGTGTGTGTGTATGTGTGTGTGTGTGTGTGTGTGTGGGTACTGTTTGAAAGAACAGCTGATGTAACTGATGGTAACAGACCTTTTTCTCAGGGTCAGATTCAGATTATTAGCTTAGTGTTTTCAGGAAAGGAAAATCTTCTCCGTCTCTCACAAAAACAGCAATGAGAGAATTAATGCCAGATAATGGCGATTAAAGCAGCAATAAGCAGCTTAAAAAGTTAAGAAATAATTCTTGTACGCATACAGATGCGTCATGAAATAGTTTGGCATTACCTCAACTGACTAAAAGTAAGTTACAGCTCTAAAAACACTGCTCTGCTCCTCCTTTTATATTTTTCTTTGTGTCTTTTTGTGTAAGGATTGCTTTTGGGTTTCTCTCTATCTCAGGGCTGCCCAAAGTGTGGCTCATGGGCCAGAGTTGACCTGCCATAAGGTTCAGTTTGGCCCACCAGATTATAGAAATATATACAGTACAGGCCAAAAGTTTGGACACACCTTCTCATTCAATGCGTTTTCTTTATTTTCATGACTATTTACATTGTAGATTCTCACTGAAGGCATCAAAACTATGAATGAACACATGTGGAGTTATGTACTTAACAAAAAAAGGTGAAATAACTGAAAATATGTTTTATATTCTAGTTTCTTCAAAATAGCCACCCTTTGCTCTGATTACTGCTTTGCACACTCTTGGCATTCTCTCCATGAGCTTCAAGAGGTAGTCACCTGAAATGGTTTCCACTTCACAGGTGTGCCTTATCAGGGTTAATTAGTGGAATTTCTTGCTTTATCAATGGGGTTGGGACCATCAGTTGTGTTGTGCAGAAGTCAGGTTAATACACAGCCGACAGCCCTATTGGACAACTGTTAAAATTCATATTATGGCAAGAACCAATCAGCTAACTAAAGAAAAACGAGTGGCCATCATTACTTTAAGAAATGAAGGTCAGTCAGTCCAGAAAATTGCAAAAACTTTAAATGTGTCCCCAAGTGGAGTCTCAAAAACCATCAAGCGCTACAACGAAACTGGCACACATGAGGACCGACCCAGGAAAGGAAGACCAAGAGTCACCTCTGCTTCTGAGGATAAGTTCATCCGAGTCACCAGCCTCAGAAATCGCAAGTTAACAGCAGCTCCGATCAGAGACCAGATGAATGCCACACAGAGTTCTAGCAGCAGACCCATCTCTAGAACAACTGTTAAGAGGAGACTGCGCCAATCAGGCCTTCATGGTCAAATAGCTGCTAGGAAACCACTGCTAAGGAGAGGCAACAAGCAGAAGAGATTTGTTTGGGCCAAGAAACACAAGGAATGGACATTAGACCAGTGGAAATCTGTGCTTTGGTCTGATGAGTCCAAATTTGAGATCTTTGGTTCCAACCGCCGTGTCTTTGTGAGACGCAGAAAAGGTGAACGGATGGATTCCACATGCCTGGTTCCCACTGTGAAGCATGGAGGAGGAGGTGTGATGGTGTGGGGGTGTTTTGCTGGTGACACTGTTGGGGATTTATTCAAAATTGAAGGCACACTGAACCAGCATGGCTACCACAGCATCCTGCAGCGACATGCCATCCCATCCGGTTTGCGTTTAGTTGGACGATCATTTATTTTTCAACAGGACAATGACCCCAAACACACCTCCAGGCTGTGTAAGGGCTATTTGACCAAGAAGGAGAGTGATGGAGTGCTGCGGCAGATGACCTGGCCTCCACAGTCACCGGACCTGAACCCAATCGAGATGGTTTGGGGTGAGCTGGACCGCAGAGTGAAGGCAAAGGGGCCAACAAGTGCTAAACACCTCTGGGAACTCCTTCAAGACTGTTGGAAAACCATTTCAGGTGACTACCTCTTGAAGCTCATGGAGAGAATGCCAAGAGTGTGCAAAGCAGTAATCAGAGCAAAGGGTGGCTATTTTGAAGAAACTAGAATATAAAACATGTTTTCAGTTATTTCACCTTTTTTTGTTAAGTACATAACTCCACATGTGTTCATTCATAGTTTTGATGCCTTCAGTGAGAATCTACAATGTAAATAGTCATGAAAATAAAGAAAACGCACTGAATGAGAAGGTGTGTCCAAACTTTTGGCCTGTACTGTACATAGATGCATTGTGTGAGCCTTTTGCGGTGATACGTCAACAGTGCCGTCATATCAGAGAGTGTAAGTCTTGCCTGTAAACACATGCAAGCGTAAAGCCCTGTTGCAATGAGTCGTTTTTATATTAATTGGTATATGCTCTATGTGCAGCAGAAAAAAAGGATTGTGTGCCGGGCTTACATTAACTGAAGTACTTACCTGGTAGAATACCATTAATTATCACGAAGAATTGATCTTTTGCGAAGCCCCACCCCTTTGTAAAGGTTCGACAAGCTGTCAGAGTAAGCATGAAACCCACACTATAACTAACTATCAATTAGTTACAATTTTTTTGAAAAAATGAAAGAGTGATTCCAGAGTGAAGCAGACAGAGGGGTCTGCAGTCTGTGTTTGAAGGATATATCCAGGATGTCAAACTGACTCAGCAGCAACAACAGGTTAAAAAGACAAAGATAGTTAAAAGCTAAAGCCGAACTATAGGCTACAGATCATAGTGTAAAAGTGAACCACCACATCACTGCTGATCGCCATGCAAGACAATGAATAGAAAGGGAAACTTTGCTGATATTGAACCAGCTGTGTGGCATCGCAGTGTGTGCAGATGAACGGTGTTTGACTTTGCCCCCGTGCCCCCTTTGCCTCAGCCGCCATACAGGCAGGGATCTCCAGTGGAAGTCAAACAACGTTTATCTGCGCACAAAGTTTCCCTGCTTACCTTCTCTGGTTCCTGTACAGCAGGGTCGGTCTTATGAAGTCTTATAATCATTAAAAAGCAAAAGCAGCATGTGTATACATTCAGTAGGCTATATCTTCAGTAGCTAGCTAGCTAACCCTACACTTTTCAGGGTTTGATTTTGGTTTGGAACAGGGAAGAAACGTATATCTTTTTCCAACCTCTCCAGGTAACGAGTATCATTCATACATGACGTGCCCAGACACAACATTTAGCTCCAAATCCACAAAACCAGCCTGAAAATGAAGGAAATCTGAGACGATTGCATTAGAGTCAATGGAGCACAGCTGTGTTGTTGTCGGACCCTGGTCTGAGCCGGCCCGATGCTACGTTATGATTGGCCAGTCTGCGTCCCGGGGCGGGAACAAGTGAAGGGTCAATTCCAGAAACTCACATTTGTCAACCATGAATTCAGCTTATTTTTTATGCTTAAATACTTATGGAGACATCTCTGTATAATGTAACTTAATGGGGAAGTAACGTTAAACAATTTTTCAACTTGCTGGCTATATGTTTTGTCTTTATAATATAATAATAATCTTAATCTTAATATGCAGGATCCCTAATTATCAATTATATTTCATAATCTGAGCACAGCAGACAGAGAGACACTTTGGGAAGACAGTTTGGAGCGAGTGAGGAAAGAAAAAAATTGAGAAACAGACAGTGGCACACAGACAAAAGGCATTTCAACTGAGGGAACATAGTGCCGAGTACCATTTTGCATCTTAACAATACAATCCAACGCAACAGGTGTTTGCTTTTGGTCTGTGGCCCACCATTAAGTTTTAGTTTTGGCCCTCTGAAGGAGAACATTTGGACATGCTTGCTCTATCTTTTTCTTTTTCTTCATTTATTTTTCTCCTTCCTGTACCCAGAGCCTTTATCCTCATTATCCCCAGTTGTACTGTGTTGGCTCTGACGTGTGTTTTATTGACCCCTCATGATTGAGCACGAATCTCATTTAGGCTTTCTGAAGAATAATTGTGTTTCTGTGTGAATGATTTCTTTACATAAGATATTATTTTAAAAAATAGTCGCACAAAAAGACAAAGCCCCCAGATCAATCAGCTGAATCATTGCAAGCATTTGACGTGTGGTAGTCAATCACATCCCAACGTACTTGTGAAGCACCGGAGAGCTTGGGACAATAGAAATCCATACAGTGACATACGAGATGTAGGTCCTGTCGATTTATGCTAACAAATTGTTTTTCACCGGCAGCTTACAGACGAATATTGGCATCGACTGTTGACAAACATAAGAAATGTAAAATGAAGTATCTGATTTTTGATTTATTTTTCCTGTTTCCGTCGTTGATTGACCAAATGGAATAGTCATTGTGCAGGTTTATCAGAGAACAGAACAGAACAAACATTTCTGAGTGTTTTATGACGTTAGTACCTTGTAGATTCTGGATCTGCCGTGTGAAGGCTTCAGCCTGATGGGCACTGGCTAGACGCTCATCCTCCAGCAGACCTGGTGTAGAGGTGAAGTGAGGAGAGGAGAGGAGAGTGGGTAGAGAGATAAGAGGAAAATGTCAGCAGGCCAATAGAAAGATGACAACTTGATAAGCTGTTCAACCTTGAGGCATGACTGAGTGACACAAGCAGTTCTGTGTGTCCGTCTGAGTGTTAAACACAATGTGAGCCGCACCATCAGTGTTGCTGTAAGATCTGTCGGTATATGAATTTCATAAAACTCTCTTCCTGAATATAAGAACTTTTAAGTACAGCAGAACAAAACAAAGATGATTATTTTGGCTGTAGTTTTTCACAGCTTTTGGTTTGCGGCTATTTTTGACTTCCTATTTCCTTTTGGTCCTTATTAGTATGTGATGCCAAGTCATTTCTCCAGCATACTTCGGGCAGATTCACTAATGTCTTTAATACAACAACAGCTGCTCGTTGGAGACACAGGAAGGTCAGTTGAGCCTGCATATTCTTAAAGGGCCAATTCACCCAAACTACAGATAAAAAGAGAGATTTCTACCAGCTGTGACAACATTGCAATGGCTGGCATTGTTTTTTTTTACGCCGTGAGTCTGCGTGTGTGTGTTCGGCAAAATGTGGTTCTGGTGACACCTAACACTAGCTGGAACTACCACTGCACAATATTGTCGCAGCCATGCAAGATGCAGTCTGTAAATTTTACAGGTGTGTAGTTGAGATCAAAATGAAGGCCAAGTTTGAAGATGGGTGTGGTCTAAGCAAGAGGACCTGAAACAGGGGGGTAGGAAGTAGGAAAGAGGCCATTGGCCCCCCAAATTTACACCCCTGACTGACAATCGCTTTAAGGGTACTCCTAGAGTTGTCTTGCTTTGGTCCAATTTACGGACTAATTTTGTTACAAAGTTGCATAATTGCTTAGAGTTTGTTTGTGTTCTCAAGGCAGCATTTACACACAGACCAGATCAAACACCTTGTGCGAAAAAGCTGCTTTGATTGGTCAGAATTTAACAATGCCTGAAAAATCCAGGAAGTAAACAAACGTAAATGCGACACTTTCTAATGTCACAATGGAAGGACAACTATGCGGGTTGATTTTAGCGCTGGTAAAATATATGGCAAGTGTGAAAGCATCCTAAGTCACGGATAGCTGTATTGCGGCTGGACTGACCCCGTCGCAACATTTTGGTTTTGCATTATCAAAATTTAAATCTGATTTTTTACCCACTAGTGACATGGCTTCAGGGATGGCAGTGTCGGTTGGTCCACCACTTTCATCCAGACTGAAATACATCAACATCTACGGTACGGGTTGCCATGGCATTTTGTACAGACATTCGCGATCCCCAGAGGATGAATGCTACTGATTTTGAAAATCCCTTTTCTTTTTCCTCTAACACCATCATCTGTTTGGTGCTAATAAGTAAATATGCCAATATGAACATGATGAACACAAGCTGCAGCCTCCAGGGCTGAAATATGGACCCAACGCACCCAACGGTTTTGAACTCTACAGCTAATTTCCCCGTTCATGACAACTGTAGCTTTCAAGGGGTGAATTTGTATTCAACACACCCATTGAAATTTTATTAAGACTCAAAGTTATGCATTTATATAAGGGACTTAAATGCATATTAAGGGCTTGGTCCTGCTCTCTGCAAGGCGTTACCACCTTCTATGAGTCAGCTCCACCTTCTCAGTCCAAATATGGTCACTTCTGGTTCAAATAATCCAAGATGGCATCTGACAAAATGCCAAACTAGAGGTCTCAAAATGGCAGACCACAAACCAATTGGTGACGTCACGTTGGCTACATCCATTATTTTTATGCAGGCTATGGGTAAATATTATATCTGCCTAACATCAGCATTATCACTATGAGCATATTAGCATTCTGACATTAGCATTTAGCCTCAGTTTAGCCTCACAGAGCGCCTAGCATGGCTTCAGGCTCTTAGTCTCACTTAAAAAACATTTAAATCTCACTATCAGGGTGCCCACCTCACCTGGGAGAGCAGGCACCCCATGTACAAAGGCTTTGTTCTTGCTGCAGCAGCCGCAGGTTATCTCCTCTCTCCCTTTCACAATAATAAACTGGCCTGTCGATTAAAAACAATAAAAACCTTAAGAAATATCTTTTAAGAAATGCACCATTTTCATTGGGATCTTTCAATCAGTAACATCGCGCTCCTGATTTTTCTTCGGCTCAGATGAAGTCTCCTCCTTTCAGGAAACAGCAGTATATAGCCTAACTGGTGAGTGTAGTTTGATTGACAGCTTGCATTAAAATCACCTATAGACCCCTGATCTTAGCCTACACCTCATCTTACATCATTCTCTACACCATGTTCACTCAGGACCCCCACCACCTCCACCGCTCCACCCCCCCAACAGCTGTCAGCAGCCTGAGCAGCTGACTGTTCCCAGTGGGAGTTGACCCACAGTGATTTCTCGTTGTGGTCTAGGACACCCAGTCTGGAAGCTTCGCTCAGCATGCACGCAGTTGTCTGAGGAATGTCTCTGCCGTTGCCAAACAAACAACTGAGCTCACCACGCCATGTCTTTTAGTATGACACGCAGTCATATACACATACTGAACTCAGTGCAGCCCCATACCCAAGGTCTTACGCAGTGCTCGTGTCCCTGAACATTAAGCTCATCATTTCTAAGGTATGATGTGATGCTCCATTTAGTGCCTGTGAGGAACTGACCGTGTCAGCGGTCGCATATAAACATTTACGCTTCTACGTGTGTGGTTAGATTGTGATGAAGAGGAGATGTCTCAGGTGGAAAGTTAAGCTGTTCAGGTGGAGGACAGAGGCTTTCTTCTCTGGTGGTGCGTAAAGAATAGAGAAAATGTTAAGACTCACAGGGGTGGAAAGTGCATGGTTTATTTTATTTTACTGTAATAATAATTAAGTTAGAGACCTCCCAAACCGGAATCCATAATCATGAGATCTTGCTACATAAATTAAGTTAAATCATAGAGAGGGAAGGCCCACAAGGTTTTAAATGTTAGTGTTTAATTGCTTGTTTAATTTACTTGAGATTAAAGGAAAGCCCCGCTATGTATCTGGATCTGATTCTCATGTTGTTTATTGGTTTAGATATCATTTCACCCACCACCTCCGTTGTAGAAATTTGGGAAACCTGGACTCAAAAACACAAACGCAAGAACGATGGTGAGCTCTAATGAAATGAGGCCCATTTCACAGAAACTGTTCACTGCGTCACATTTCACAAATGACTGTTGAATGCAAATGGCTGATATATTTTGCATGCTCACACCTGGGCTGCAAGTATACCGTTTCTTCTGAATGGTGAGTTGTGTCATCATTAAATGGAGAGGAAATTATCTCATGTTGCAAATGGGTGAAACTGGCCCCTCGCTGCATAGCATGACGTATCCACTCTTTGGTTGAACAGTCAGTGCCATGCCTAACATATTCATGAGTGCGCACCACTTTGCTGTGGATCACTTTCAGTTTAGCTTGTGTTTATGATCGGGACATACTGGGCAGATCTCACTGCATTGCCACTACATGATTAAAAGGAGATGGCGTATTGCACTACATCTGCCATACAAGGATGGATTATTATTATTGGATGGGCACAGGCCCAAGAGCCCAAAGTGCCAGGGGCCCCACTGACCTTCACTTGTAAAATGTCACTCAGGGTGTTTTCACATATAGTCCCTTTAAACAAACTGAACTCAGTCCTCTTAAAGTGCACCTAAAAGTGGACTGACAGAAAAGGGACTCAGTTCTTTGTGTGTTCACATTGTCAGGTCATTTGAAAGAGGACTCAGTTCTCTTTCTGGTCAGCTTCAGCTCTAATGGGGCCTCAGTCCTCTTTCTGTTCACACTATAGCCTACATATATATATATTATATATTGACAGTTTTGTTTTTACTTTAACGTGGCACAGCAGTGTGATTATGAAGCCCCTTGCTTACAGATGAACTTAAAATTGGAGGAAAACCTCAGTGTTTCTGTGCTGTAGCCTGTATCTGTTTGATGTATTCTACATTCCACATCTGGAGACGTGCAGTATCTTCCGTGGACCAAACTACTCCTCGTCCTGCATCCCTGCAAGTGTTACAGGTCGACGTGGTTTATTCAAGCGGCCCAGTGCAACAGCATGTGCTCTAGAGGGCTAAATACAATGGCAAAGAGCAAAGCAAACCTGGAGTACTTTGTGTACACAAGGAACAGGTTATGTGAACCGCACTGCGGGCTTAAAACTAACTCAGACCACCTGCCGAGTCTGGGTACAGTTCTTGGAGTGTTCACATATGCACAAAAAATGCTGAGTCACCACTCTGAGTCCATTTAGAGGGCTGAAAAGGACCAAGTGTGAAAACTCCCTCAAATTAACACACACTGACCAGGAAGTGACAGAAAATGACTGCAAAGGAGCCACAAAGAGACACAAAATAAGTACAAAAATGAGCCAAACAAAGCCAAAGAGACACAAAATGACCACGATGAGATATAGAACCACAAAAATGAATAAAGACTACAAGGATTAATAAAGATACAATTCAATAAAAGGCAAAACCACCGCAAAGTCTGTGTCTTACGCCTATGTGGGAGACATGATTAGGGCTTTTGCATATCTGCGCCCAGGTGCCCATTGTCTCATAATCCACCCATGCTGCTATGCTGTTAACTACAAAAGCTACGGGGATTTTCAGGAAGTAGAAGAAGAATTGGAGACTATTTCTGTCAAGTTTTTGGGAGAACTGTAGCTTCTTAAGCTCTTTGCCTCAATAGTTGTAATGTTTGCCAGTTTGTATCTCACAGATCTCTACAGCAGAGATGGTTATGATTTAATGTTCCCATGACTAAAAGTCATAAAGGATAACAACATGAGAATGAGACCAGGTTGACAAGTGGCAGAATTTTTTAAAATTTGCCCAGAAAGGCAGGATTCAGGGGTTTTGAAAGATGTTAGCATTTGTTTTTTATAGCTCTTGATTTCAGGTCAGATGTGTTGTTAGTAAATAATAAATAAAATATTGTGATCGAGGGAGATTAATGATTCAAGACACTAAATAATGAATAAATAGTATAAAAATACAGTCTTAGCACCGGCATTCGTTTCCAAGGCTGGGGGTCTCACCTTGCAGCTCGTGGAAGCTCTCCTGGTGTTTGTTGGAGGTCTCTCTGGCGTCGTCCAGCTCCAGCAGCAGCTGCAGCACCTGGGCCCTCAGCTCCTCCAGCTCCTGCTCCTCCGTCAGGGGCTCCTGCTCCTTCTTCCTCTTCTCCTCCCCTTCGGCTTCCTCCTCCTTCAGCTTCTTCTCCTCCTCCCCTTCCTCCTCCTGAGCTCTCTCCTGGTCCATCTCCTCCTTCTCGTTGTTCTCCTCCAGAACGCCTCTCTCCTTCGCCGTTATCTCGTTGTCCATGGTGGGGCTGCACTCTGCTTTCAGATCGCACGGGTCATCTGATGAAAAGATGAGAGCGATATTAGAGAGGGATGCCTGATAGGGGAAAGAGAGAGGGAGAGACAGGAAGAGAGATTTACAGGTGACAAACCTATCTGTCATCAGCCTAAATTCAGTCATGCTTTAGACACAGGTGGTGTAGTCTTTTGAATCAACAGCACCATCTTGTGATAAAAGATAAAAGCATTGAGTCCTTTGTACGCCAACCTGTATTCCACTCACGTATCTTAATGTAACACACTCATTTAAATACACAAAATCACAGACAACCCTCTTATGAGATTAGAGCCGAGATTTTGACTGAGAGGAAGCGGGAAATTCATTCACATCAGGAAGAACGCATTAGATTATATGTCAAAATATGCCAAACTGTCTTGTCAGAGTTTTAATACTGTGTAGTTAAGGGAGACATTATTAACGATATCATGTGTTGATGACAACTGATTACAATGTTAGGACACATTGTACATTCCTCTATCTGCACATTAGATTTGAATTTGTGACCAGTAGGTGGAGTGAGTTAGCTGACACACTGCGGAGAGAGAAGGAGGGAGGAGGGCCTGAATGCTGAAGCAATCACTATGACTCACCACTCAGCAATGCACCTCCAAGTCCATAATAACACGAGCTACCACTCATAGTAAGAAAGATGTGACAAACACACGTCCCTCTCTTGTATTACACGGTGTCACATTACACGGTTGTCTGCCTTTTTTTTGTCTTTGTTTTGTTTTTGCGTTGGTTTCCTTTGTTCCTATAGACCGCCTGTTGTTAATGTCGGCCTGTAAAGCCCAATGAGACATTGTATACGATGTACTAGTAAACTTGATTTGACATTAGAACAGCTGTTGCTTGCCAGAGCCGCAGAGACAGATGCAGAGCAGGTCAGGAAACTAGAAGGGAGGGCATCATTTATAGCACAACAACATGACGGCAGATTCCCATTTGACTCGGAGGAAAAGTCGTTTCCCATTAGTGAGATGAGATTTGCTGCGAGGCAGGAGAGGACGGAGCTAAATGGAGATTATATTTGCAGTGTTAGTTTGTTCTCAGGTGCAGTTAATAAGGTCAAAGGATCACTTGTGCCTCAGTTACTGTCTCATCCCTGGAAATTCTGCTTACATCACACTGGCCTGCTGTCATTTCTCTCTTATTTCCCGAATAACGTGCCCTCCAGGGTCAAGCCCAATCTCGGCACTAAATTGATGTGTAGCGTCACACGTTCATGTTCGAGTGGTATCTGAGTGCCTCAAAATTGCTGTTTGTACTCAGACAGCGGTGTGAGGATGGGTGAGGGGAGCGGTGTTTGCCGAGATACGAGAATAGAGAGATGTGACAAAAGAAAAGGTGCAGCAGGGGACACAGTGAGGCATTAACTAAAGATCCACCTAATTAAGAGTGATGCTCACTGGTGTAATCTTGGCTCAGGGGATGCTTCCCTCTCTTGTGGTAATTATTTCTCTGCCTTGTTGTTCCCTCAATAGATGTAACTATTTCCACCACAACCTAGCACTTGCGACAAATTCGTTTTTATCATATCTATATGGCATTAGTGGCGGGCTGCATCCTTCCTGTCTCATAATAATGTTCATTTAAACAATGCAGCCTCTGAGAGGCGCCTGAGAGGTTTCATGAGCACTGGGCTATTTTGTCATTAAACTTTGATGCTGGCGTAATGAGTTAGTCATAAAGAAGAGAGCTGGAGTCGTGTGGCAGCGAGAGAGCTGGCGCTGCTTGTATAGCCAGCGGCAGCAAAAGGCCATCAAGATACAAAAGGCTCCCCACTGAATATCACTCACATTCACACCCTTCAGGACGTCGAGCTCAGGGTTTGATAACTCGGAAAGCTCTGGCTCCAGTGACTTGGGCAGTGTTTTAGGTTTTGTGGATGTGACGTTCGGCATTCAATTACAGCAGATCAGGGATAAACTATGAAACTATGATACAGTTTACAGTGAAAACTCGGTCAGAATGAAGTATTGTAGGGGAGACCAGGGATGGTTGTAACACTTTCAGTTTCTCCAACCAGGAGCGAGCTATGAATCATCTGATTCATTCGTAGCTACCATAAGGTCACCCATTACAGGGCTCAACAATAGGGATTGCCTGATTGCCCGGGGCAAGTAAAACTCAAGGTCGGGCATGTAAACTAACAACTCACTTGCCCGATCGGGCAAGTTGCTAAAAATAGTAAAAGTTAATAACTAATTGATAAAATAAATGTATTTTAAAACGTGCTCCTTCGGCTCTGATGCAGCGGTCTCTCTGCCTGAAGTCACAGGCACACGTAACAATGTCCTGCCCACAGCCCCCATTGATATTATTTTGTACGATGGACGCTTCATGTAATAACATAACAATATACTATTTATGGTGTTATGTCATCGTGTCATTTCTGTCTCTACATGGTCACGCGTTAACAATTCTCCTCTGCTCTCTGTATCCCGCACGGCGTAGATTCCGCCACACACACAGGTGAGCACGCTAGAGTGGCTCGGGCCGCATTTTCCTGACCAAACCTGACCCCGAGCCCTGTGCAGTTTGTCAGCTGACAAAGTTATTGTTATGGACACTGTGTAAATAACCAACAACAAACGCACACACAAACACGCTGCTAGCACAGCAGCGCAGCACGGCACTCTTGGTGCTGAGCTTGTGTTGCGTTCAGGCGTTGTCACGTAAATAACAACTTCCAGCATTTAAATAGGTCATAGCACAAAACAGCAGCATGTCAAGTGACTTTTTACTGTTATTATATTTAATACAATTGTATGTTCCTAAATCTTGAGACACTTCATATGTAAGCTAGACAGACATTTCACCTGCTCATTACTGTGCACACATGTACTGTATGTACTTAGTCCTAAAGAGCCCTTCTGGTGCCAGTAGATACATAGAAACATCCCAACAGGCTGTGCTTTGCAAGCATACAGAAAAGTTTCACGCATGTGAAAATTATTTTTCATGCGTGTGCTTCACCTCCGCTGCTACAACTCCATCCTAGGGGAAACACTGCTGTGTGCGTTTTGTGCAACAGGTGGATGTGGTAGTCTACTGGTAGAGTAGAGAGAGAGCTAAGTAGCGTTGAAGTAGAGTAGAGCAGGGCAGAGAGATGGAAGCAAAATATATTAAACCCGGTGTTAATACAGCAGAACTGGAGAGAGGGGTGAAAAATAAATAGAGGTGGGCATGGCTCAAGTAGGGCGCAAAATTATAGACGGAGAACGATTGACAGTTTTTTCACTTTAAGCCCTGACACTGTCATATTTGTGTAGGAATTAAGCTACAATACATAACCTATGTTGTTTTAATTAATAAATACAGTGTGAATAAAGATTACATAACATAAAAATAACTGCAGTCTTTGTTAATTGATAGCCGCTTAAATCAAACAATTTTTTTAGGGCAAGTAAAAACTGACTTTGGGCAAGTAGATCTCTGACCAACTTGCCCGACCAGGCAAGTGAAAAAAAACCTTAGCGTTGAACCCTGAATTAGTTTTCTAAAGCCTTGAGTTTGACATTTTGGCCGTCGCCATCTTGGTTTTTTGGAGCAAGAAGTGACCATATTTGGGTGAGAGGGTGGACCTGACTGAGAGGCCAAGGACACTATTAGCAAACAGCCTGTCACTGAAAACGGCCTGCCCTTAGTTATGTGTAACTTTGAGCCTTAATAAAATGTAAACAGGTGAGTTATATAAAAATTAAACCCCATACAGTTGTCATGAACAGAGAAATTAGCTGTAGAGACCAAAACTGTTTTTGTACCAGGCTGTAAGCATGTTTGCTTCTGCTGTAAATTTGGGAATTTTAACCAGGGGGCCTAAGGGGATTGACTCATTTCTGGAGCCAGCCGCAAGTGGCCATTCAAGGAACTGCAGTTTTTGGCACTTCCATGTTGGCTTCATTTTTCAGCCATGGAAGTGAGACATGTATAGAGTGCTCCAAGTATGATGTTTTCTGTAGGCCAATGCGAAAGTTAGCATTGCACTGGTTTGCTCGTCAAAAAGCCCACAGGATTTTTCAGTTGGATTTTGGATTATTGCCAAAAATAAGTTCTGTAGTAAACAAAAATTTATGGTACTTACACAATTTCTTCAGCAAGAAATGCAATCTCCAGAAGTAAAAAGCTAACGTTAGGTTAGCTAGTTCGTGGCTACATGAGTCTAGGTTACGGGTAATAACATGTGGCACTATGCCAAGCAAAATTGTTATATATTTGGCTCACACACACAAATACACACAAACACACCAACTATGCTATAAAGTAATTTAAGTGTTGAATAAAAAGCTTTAAATGCCTTAATTTTTTTTGTCATAATCCTTATTTCATGATGTTACATCTCACCCTAGGCTACGTTACAACTTATCAAGACTATGGGGTAATATTCCACTCCTTTGAGACCAAACCACATATTTTCTCTTTGTATGACAGAGACAGCAGCTACACCATTTAATACCAGACACATGGAACTAGTTTGTATCACAGTTTGAACACACTGGCTTAAAATAGCTACAAGAAACAGACAGATATGTCACAACTGTGAGAATCACCCCCCTACACACTATTTACACACTTTCTATGCTGCTGCTTGAGAAATTGTTTCGGACATCTGTTAATATGATGGGCAAAAAAAAAGCCCTCTCAACTTTCTTCAACTTCCTTTGACGGCATCTTTGCAAAGGCATTAGCCTCTACGTTGTTATGGTTCCTCTCAACATATTAGCCTGTGTCCGTCAGCTCTGTAAAACCTCCTCACGGAGCCATCCCATATCTGTCCAGTGCTTCCACAAGTCTGCCTTCTTAGCTATTCCCAGCAGCTTGTTAATCATCTCAGTCCTTAAGGAAGCTTTATCATCTCACCTTGTGAGTGAATGTCAAACACATTGTGCAGCAGAATCAGCTGCAGTGACACCTGTGATCACTCCACCGCATACTTGGCACGGTGCTGGTCTTTAGTCACGCAGGGATTGCATTAGACATGGATGCTGCACGCATACGAGAGCGGGGACGGGCAGGAGAGTCATCTCAGGAGC